AACAAATGCTCTTTGATAGGCCATGCGCAGAAAACTCACCGCTGGCGAGTTCAACTTCCACTGCGATCACTGCAGGGGTCTTCCCGGCAAGTGTGCTTTGGCTGCACTTCAATCTAAGCGGTTGTCTTCATGCATCATCTAACCCAGTTTTCTACTTTTGTCGGGCCGTCTTCTTGCCTCGAACATCCACTACCCATCTGCTGTCCCTCGCCATAACATTGCGACCTGTTGTTGCTGGTTGTGTCCTGTCGTCTCTCAAGTTGTCATTAGTACACCCAGGTTGATCTGAGGTTGCACGTGTTCCTGCCCAGCAATCTCTCGGAATCATTGTCGATGTCACTGAGGAAGACGACTATCGACTATCGATATCTCTTTGATCTTCCCTCCAGTCGGCTGTTCACGTGCAGTTCCGGCAATCCAGGGTTGCCTGCAATCGTCGGCAGGTGCACTGCTTTGTGGACATCGAAGGTTGTTCATGCGCCTTTTGTGCTGGGACACGCATGTAGCATCCTGGTTGCGCAGTGACCTTAGTCATAATTATGTATATATATATATATATATATATATACATACATACATACACACATCTGTGTGTATATATATATATATATATATATATTTATACATACACATACCTATATATCTATATGTCCATACTTCTATATATCTGTACCTACATATTTATGTGTATATAGGTCTATGTACCTATATATATATATATACACATGTACGTATACCTATGTCTATATAAGCATATCTATATAAAGACATATACGTATGTACATGTATACTAGTTGTATATTCACAAAAAATATCTCCTTGTTTCGTCCGTGCTGTGTCGCAAGCTATGGTTGTCTAGCTTCACAAGCCATAACTGAATCTGAAGCTTACCAGCTTGTTGGCCGTGGTTCGTCTCGGTCTCACTCTTACACCTCCGAGAATTCTAGTAGGATTTGACACCGAGGTGCCTGTCCACAATGCCCTCGGACTGAAGACTCGCTTTGCTTCTCAGCAGCTCGGCGGTCCTTGTCGGACTGGGTATGAGTTTCTGTACCACAGTTAGTACGTTTCCAAACTCAGTGCCTGAGCCTGAGCGTCAGTCTGCGATTTTGCAACTTTGTTCAAAGATGAGCTAGATCAGCACCCAGTGGGAGCGAATGCGAGCTCTCCGGGGAAGTCCTCTACCAAGGGAGTGACCTGCAAGCGCAATGGATGCCCACGCACGCCGTTCAATGATGTGCCCGGCAATTATTGCTCCTCGGTACGAGCTTCTTGTGTCCTAAGTTTTGTCTTCAACTCGAGCAAGCGCCGTGATCCTCCTAACGGTTTGGTGCTTGACTCCGTTGTCAGCAGTTCTCACCCTTCTGCAGCATGACATGTGAACGAAGATGGGTGGCATCAACACGTTGTTTAGTTTCCGTTTCGATCTGTGTCGCTTCTTGTTCCGGAGGTGGACGACGGTGCAAGGAGAAGGATGCTGCAGAAGGTGTTCTGCCGCCGCCACATCCGCATTTTGCACCTCCACGAAGGTCCAATCGTGCTCCGAAGCACAGGCCACCTGTCGCAAACAGAGCATTTGAAGCCTGCTGGCTGAACAGCTCACGACAACAATTTTCAGGACGCCTTTGGATGTATTGCGTTGACCGGCCCCTACTTGTAACACTCGAAAGTAAGAGCGGCAGCCGGTTGATGAAAGCGTGATTTCCCAACAGCTAAACAGAGGACTTGCATGTTGCATTGCTGCTTGTGCGTCGTGCGGAGCGCAGATCACCCCCACCCCCGCCGACGTCCGACTCAAACGTTCTCAGTTTGATGAATTGAACAATTTTTCTCCCAGTGCCAGCAAGGTCTGAAAACGGAGTTGCCTGCATTCGACCAGGCTGCAACGCAGAGGCAGTGACAAAGATGCCTTTGCCCAAACCTTTGAGCTGAACGTCCCTGTTGTCAGTCGCACGATGGAAAGCCCGGAAGCTTTTGCAACAAGTCCTGCCGAGACCAGGACTGGGAAGGTTTGAGACGCTTTGTTTGTGAGTGTGTGCGAATCAATGAAGCGTTTCCGGACGGCAAATCCCTGCATGCAATGATGGTTTTGTCGGTGTAGTGCTTCTTCTGCCAGTTCCCTAATATGAAAAGCCTCCCCCCTCCCCCTGATACAAAAACTAGTTTCCTGGATTTTGCTTTAATTTGAAAGGGGGTTCGGGGCATCCGGGTATCAGTCGGATAGACCGTAATCAGTATTGAGCCATTGAGCCAGACAGTCACACAAGTAAACAACCACCGTTTCCTACATAGCCGTTCCGGCTGTAGAGCAGACAGTCAGCCTGCCTCGTTTAAGCTCTAAACCGTGAGAACTAAAGCTCTAAGCCCTAAACCTTTGCCTTAAGCCCTATAAAGCCTAAACCCCGAAACGCCAAAGCTTTGGTCCTGTCGGTTTGATTAGTACTGCTGTAATCTTGGCTCCAATACAACTAGTACAATACAATCCTACACCACCCCTAATGTTTTCAATTTACTTTCAATTGAGGGCCCGAAACGGCGAAGTTCCAGGGGCCGAGAGTTTTGTATTAGGGGGGCTTTGATTTTTGGGGGAAGCGATTAACTAGAACAACCGGCTGCGCAGTGCATACGAGTGAATCCCTGACAGGGCCCAGGACAGACAACTTTCTGCACCGAGGCCACGCACAAAGAGTGTCTCCTCTACATTCGTCAACAGAAGGTGCAGCGTTCCATTGTTTGTATTGTCGGATATTCAGTTTGTTGTGATCTAGCGCCAATTTGGCACATCGGACAAAGTTGGACTGTGCGTCCGCTTAGCTGCAAAATGCGCTCGTCCACCGCGTGTCTATAGTGTACCTTTGTGTCTGTACGTGTGCAGCGACACTGTACATGGAGACCATGACTTGCGCATGAGTGTATCTGTATCTGTTATTTATGTGTGTATATACATATGTACACACACTATTATGTGTGTGTGTGTGTGTGTGGGTGTGCACGTTTCTTTGTGTTGCTTATTTCTTACTGCTGGCAAGAGTAGGGTGGCCTAACTCCGGCGATACTTGCAGCTGAAGCTCAGGTGGGAATCACTTTCTGCGCCCGAGCCTTATCGTGCATCCCTGGAAAGGCCTACGGGTGGTCCAATTGTTACCTTGCATGCATAACTACCAACTATGAGGCAGCTGACCGAGAAATGGAGCCCGGATGACAGTCGTGGTCCCATGAAGCTTCCCAAGAAGATCTACAAGATTCATGTCGCTTGGTGCAGCTTCTGAAGACTGGTTTTGCTCTTGCAGCACCCCAACTTGATAGGCAATGCCCAGGTTTGCTAGACTTATCTCATTACAGTTTTGGAGCAGCACCATAAAGTACCGTGTTTTTTCACTGTCGGCAGCACCAATTTGTGTCGCCATGCTGCAAGGTGGCTGCTGCCATTCAAGAACAATTTGACAGGACTCCCGTCCAACTAGACTCAAGCAGCAAGCAGCGCAGATTGCAGGCATGATCAGGCTGCTGTTGATTCCATTGGTAAAGGCTGAAAGTTCTGAGATGTTCTGAATGACACCAATTACCAAGCCTTTGACCGCGGCTGACAGGAAGTGTGGCAGCATCGGGAACTTGAAGCGATGTAAGGGAACAAATCCCGGGAATGTCTGTCGTCGGCTGCATGGCACGCGATCCGGGGCAGCATGGTTTCCCACAGCTTCTGTTGAGATGCAAAACGGCGCCCGAGCAATGATGCAGCAGGGTATCCAAGGACAAATCTGTGGGTTTGCCAACGGCCAGCCCTGCAAAAATGCAGGCCGACCCGCACACTCGGGCCTTAGCCATGAGATGCCATTCCGCCGAGGTGGCATCAACCGTCCTGAATTTGGCCTTGCCCAGGCTGCCGTGCCTGCTCGGTGATGTCAGTCGGGTTCGACCTGAAGTACCTCGCCTCCTCTTCCGGAAACAGGCATCTCCTCGTAGAAGGTTGGTTGTGCCAACCTGTGCTCATGTTTCATGAAAGCAAAGTGCCCTGCCGCCAGTGGGTACTACGGTGCCGGGCACTATACTACCAGCTGCGTGTCGACGGCACTTGGCTACGGCAACTGCGTTGTTGTTTGCCTTGTTGCGGTGGCTCCCCTAGACACCAAATAACGGTGTGCAGCAGCGCCTAGCACAGAAGATCTGCAGCTCTCTTTGGGATGTTTTGGTCTTGACAGTCTTCTGACGCCATCGTTCCCAGTGCGAAGACTCTGTGAGGTGGGAACGCCCGAAATCGTGGACGATCGGACGCCCCTTGCTTGGACTGTTATTGTATACACTGGCCTTGACTTGGCGCGTTTGGGTATGTGACATGTGCAGCCCAAAGCACTCCAGCAGGAATGTTTCATCTCGAACTTGCGAGAGTGTCCCACCCAGGACTGAGCGAATCCCAGATGGCTGTGACAGTCGGCTGGTGAACAAGCCGTCGGGCGTAGACGAAATCGTTGTGCCGTCTGATTCGCAGATGCTCCCACGATACCTTGTCTTGTTTTAGGCCATACTCACCGGCCGTGGGTGAGCTTCATTAGTCAGTCGTTTCATTTCGGAACATCCACTGGACTTATTGCAAGGTGGCATGACCGAAAGTGTTCCGAAGGTGCAAGAAAGTCTGGCACTACGTTGCTCATATGCCTTCGCGCACATACCATATTGTCTGGGAAGACTTTCTCGACTAGAGAGGCATATGCTTGCAGACATGGCAGGCTCATGTTGACATGTGACTTCTACCGACCGCAGCTCCTTTGGCCCTTGGCCTTGCTTGGCGAAGTACTTTCCCAGTGTGCAAGTCCATCCACTCAGAATGGGGTGTGCCGAAGCGAGGCCGAGGTCGAGGGAATTGGTGATTCCGCGGAGGAGCGGCTGCGTGCATATTGTATGAAGCTTTAGTTTCAATTCGAACCTCGTTGTCGCTGCTGTCAATGTCACTTTCAACGGGTTTGGGGGTGTCCCTAAGTCAACACATCTCTTCCTATCGCCAGGAATATGGGGAGAATTGCCATGCAAGATCCCCGAGACTGCCAGAGGAAGATTGAGATTATAGCTTTCTACTTTCCTGGGCGTCGTACGGAGTCTTTGCGCAGACAAAACGGGTGTTTGCGTCACTTCATTCGCAGACCTCTCTCTGTGCATGGCGCTGGTGCTGAATTTCAATGACACTTCAGGACTGGGACTGTGTGTGCGGCTGTTCGTTCTTGGCCAACTTCTTCCGGCTGCCGACTCCCATGGAGGCTACGATGAGCAAGGGCATGAGGATGCGATCGGCACTGCAGCATGGAAATTGAGAGTAATCCTGATTCGAGTCTTGTTCAGCACCTTGACAGCGAGGTGCAGATGCACGGCGAAGTTCTTCGCTTTACCAATGCAGAGGCTGCATTCCAGGCGCTCAAGTTCAAGGAGCATACTTTCATGCAGCCTACATGCCGAGCAATGATTCGCTAGCAAAGCTGCGCTTGGAGGCCAAGCTCATCTCTTGTTGCTGTTATCCTGTTCATGCGTGGCTTTGGCAAAGCAAGGACCATGCGAAGGTGTTCCAGACTCTGGACGGCGAAGGTGCGTTTCAGAAGAAAGCTGCTCTACGAGGTCTGCTAGCATGAAATGTGCAGCAAAGCGTTGTTGAGCTTGCAAAGATGTATGTGTGCGTGTGTGTGTGTGTGTGTGTGTGTGTGTGTGTGTGTGTGTGTGTGTGTGTGTGTGTGTGTGTGTGTGTGTGTGTGTGTGTGTGTGTGTGTGTGTGTGTCCACCCCTGTTTCGAAGGGTAGGCAAATCTGAGTCGAATGAGCAGGGGGACGGAGGGGGCGCAGGGGAGCTCCGTCCAACGAAGCTCTCCCCTACACCCTAGGAAAACGTACCTGCTTTGCCTGCGCCTGGGCCCCGTCGTGGGCAGCTAGCGAGGCACTCTTGCCAGTCAAAGTTCTAGTTGCTGCCATGTTGATGAGCCTGGAGACCCCATGCTAGTCATGTTTGAAGGTTCTGACTTCTCCTGACTTATGCTGACTTCACAGACCTGCGACACATTGTGTCAAGTGTGATTCACAACGGCATTCCCTATGGGCGCCGTGTCTCCCAGAGGTAGCTCTGGCGGCTGACTTTCCCGATTGATTCTATAAGCATCGGATGACTTTCGCTGACTTTATATCCATGCTTGCAAGCTGACTTTCCCAGTGAATTCACCGACGTTTTCACCGAAACCTGAAAGCTGACTTCACCATTGATTTCTTTATTATGACAGTGACTTCACCGAGCTGACTTTCCCACTGACTTGTCGCAGGTCTTCGGCTGGAAGCGAAGTAGGAAAGCTGTGCGTTTGATAGCTACTGAGTATCCTGCTTTGCGTGTAGCAAGTGATCAGCCTGGTCCTTCTGTAGTTCATCAAAACCGTCAGCAAGTTCTGCAGCAAGACGTGCCGCCAGCAATCACGCTTCATGCGGATGGCACAGGTTTTAAGTTGTCATTTCGATCAGTGGCCGATTTTGCTGAATATTCAGCAATCATGTCGGCAAACTTGACTCATGTTCGAGGTCATAGGGACGTCTGTGCTGGCCTGAACAACTTGCTTGACATACAGCAGACTGTTGCAGAGCTTGTGTTTGTCCACCCCTGTTTCCAAGTTTCAAAGGGTAGGCAAATCTGAGTCGAACGAGCAGGGGTCTGTACGGCTGGAGTGATTGGTTTAGTACATGTGTTTGCTTGCTTGTGCGACTCGTAGACTGCAGTTTTCGCCACATGAGTGCGGTTTGCATATGTTGGAATGCGTAGACTCTGCAGTTTCGTGACATGAGTGCGGTTTGTATATGTTGGAATGCGTAGACTCTGCAGTTTCGTGACATGAGTGCGGCTCGCCAATGTTGGAATGCGTAGACTTCAGTTTCGTGTCATCAGTGCGGTATGCCTATATTGGAATGCGTTGACTCTGCAGTTTCGTGACACATGAGTGCGGTTCGCCGATGTTGGAATGCGTAGACTCTGCAGTTTCGTGACATGAGTGCGGTTCGCTGATGTTGGAATGCGTAGATTTTGCAGTTTCGTGACATGAGTGCGGTTCGCCGATGTTGGAATGCGTAGACTCTGCAGATTTGTGACATGAGTGTAGTTTGCCCATGTTGGAATGCGTAGACTCTCTGACATGAGTGTGGTTCGCCTATGTTGGAATGCGTGGACTCTGCAGTTTCGTAGACTTTCTGCTTTGAGACGCTGCTGTCAATAAGTGGAAGGGCGTGTGTGTGTCAACCGGTGTTTCGAACGGCTACAATGAGCCCGGCAGAGCTTGTGTGTGTCCACCCCGGTTTCAAAGTTTCAAAGGGTCGGCAAATCTGAGTCGAACGAGCAGGGGTCTGTACGTCTGGAGTGATTGGTTTAGTACATGTGTTTGCTTGCTTGTGCGACTCGTAGACTGCAGTTTTCGCGACATGAGTGCGGTTTGCATATGTTGGAATGCGTAGACTCTGCAGTTTTGTGACATGAGTGCGGTCTGTATATGTTGGAATGCGTAGACTCTGCAGTTTCGTGACATGAGTGCGGCTCGCCAATGTTGGAATGCGTGTGCTTCAGTTTCGTGTCATCAGTGCGGTTCGCCTATGTTGGAATGCGTAAACTCTGGAGTTTAGTGACACATGAGTGCGGTTCGCTGATGTTGGAATGCGTAGACTCTGCAGTTTCGTGACATGAGTGCGGTTCGCTGATGTTGGAATGCGTAGATTTTGCAGTTTCGTGACATGAGTGCGGTTCGCCGATGTTGGAATGCGTAGACTCTGCAGATTTGTGACATGAGTGCGGTTTGCCTATGTTGGAATGCGTAGACTCTCTGACATGAGTGTGGTTCGCCTATGTTGGAATGCGTAGACTCTGCAGTTTCGTAGACTTTCTGCTCTGAGACTCTGCTGTCAATAAGTCCGGAAGGGCGTGTGTATGTCAACCGGTGTTTCGTCAAAGGGTAGGCAAATCTGAGTCGAACGAGCAGGGATCTGTGCGGCTGGAGTAATTGGCTCAGTACATGTGTTTGCTTGCTTGTGCGACTCGTAGACTGGAGTTTCGCGACATGACTGCGGTTTGAGTACTGTGCAAGTGCAAGTTTGGCAAACGTTTTTCGTCTGTGGTGAATGCGTGCATGCCTACATGCGTTCGGAGTGCGCATCTCTCTGCTTTGCTGCATCGCAAGTGTTGTGCAAGTGCAAGAGTACGGCGTTTCGTCGTGTAGGAGTGAAGCTTCTGGAGCGAGCTGTGCCTCAGGGGTCGGAGGTTGAAGTTCTGTAGGTGCAAGTGACGTGCAAGTGACGTGCAAGGGACGCGCAAGTGATGTGCAAGGGAGGTGCAAGTGCCGTGCAAGTGACATGCAACAGTACAAGGTCCTATGTGTTTGCGAGAAGTTGTGCTGTGCAGACGGAGGTTTGTGCAAGCAAGGGACATGCAAGTGATGTGCGAGAGAAGGGCAATGGAAGTTTCTGAAGCAGTAGGGTTGTGCGAGAGATGCGCAAGCGCCCAGCAAGTGACGTGCAAGGGATGTGCAAGAGTTATGCAAGTGACATGCTTTGACGCATTCAAGAATTCCCATGGGAGGCGTCGAAGGTGACCATTCATGCAGTTACATTCGTGATGTTGCCCGAGCCAAAGCAGCCACCGTCGTGAACCGGACGCCGCGATCGGCAAGAGCAGTGCAACTGAGTGCGTGTCGTCGTGCACAAGGGATGTGCAAGTGCAGTGCAAGTGATCTGTAAGGTATGTGCAGGCAGTCAATGAGTGATGTGCGAGTGTTGTGTGTTCATGCTTTTGCTTGTGTCAGAAGCGAAGTCGAGAGTTTCTCTCATCCGCAAGTACACTTGGCCAACGTGTTAGGCTGAAATTGCTGTTCACAACTTTGTGCGGTGGTTAGCAAATCTTGGATACCCATGTCATTTGTGCGAAGCTTTGATGAAACCGTAAAAGTGCTTCAGTGTGACGTAGACAAGAGCACGGCGTTTTGTCGTGTAGGAGTGAAGCTTGTGGAGCGAGCTGTGTTTTAGGGGTCGGAGGCTGAAGTTCTGTAGGTGCAAGTGACGTGCAAGGGACGTGCAAGTGATGTGCAAGGGAGGTGCAAGTGCCGTGCAAGTGACATGCAACAGTACAAGGTCCTATGTGTTTGTGAGAGGTTGTGCTGTGCAGAGTCAATTGTTGCGGGTTTGCCTATGTTGCAATGCGTAGACTCTCTGACATGAGTGTGGTTCGTCTATGTTGGAATGCGTAGACTCTGCAGTTTCGTAGACTTTCTACTTTGAGACGCTGCTGTCAATAAGTCCCCTGTTTCAAAGAGTAGGCAAATCTGAGTCGAACGAGCAAGGGTCTGCACGGCTGGAGTGCTTGGTTCAGTCCATGTGTTTGCTTGCTTTTGCCACTCGTTGACTGCAGTTTCGCGACATGAGTGCGGTTTGCATATGTTGGAATGCGTAGACTCTGCAGTTTCGTGATATGAGTGCGGTTTGCATGTGTTGGAATGCGTAGACTCTGCAGTTTCGTGACATGAGTGCGGCTCGCCAATGTTGGAATGTAGTTTCTGCAGTTTCGTGACATGAGTGCGGTTTACCGATGTTGGAATGCGTAGACTCTGCAGACTGGTGACACGAGTGCGGGTTTGCCTATGTTGCCATGTGTAGACTCTCTGACATGAGTGTGGTTCGCCTATGTTGGAATGCGTAGACTCTGCAGTTTCGTAGACTTTCTGCTTTGAGACGCTGTTGTCAATAAGTCCGGAAGGGCAAGAGTCTTATGAACAGCTTGGGTTTGTGTGTGTCCACCCCTGTTTCAAAGGGTAGGCAAATCTGAGTCGAACGAGCAGGGGTCTGCACGGCTGGAGTGATCGGTTCAGTCCATGTGTTTGCTTGTTTTTGCGACTTGTAGACTGCAGTTTCGCGACATGAGTGCGGTTTGCATATGTTGGAATGTGTAGACTCTGCAGCTTCGTGACATGAGTGCGGTTTGCATATGTTGGAATGCGTAGACTCTGCAGTTTCGTGACATGAGTGCAGCTCGCCAATGTTGGAATGCGTATACTTCAGTTTCGTGTCATCAGTGCTGTTCGCCTATGTTGGAATGCGTAGACTCTGCAGTTTCGTGACACATGCTGGAAATGATTGCTGAGAGTATTCCTGCAATCATTGCTATTTGCCGCGTTCTGAAAGCGATTTGCTGAGATCCTGACAACCACATTGCTATTTGCCACGTTCTGAAAGCGATTTGCAGACTCAAACAGACCAGTAGCCTGTAGTCAAATTCAGGTCATGTCGGAGTCCAGCTTTGAGTTTGCAGCTCTGTAGGTGCAAGTGACGTGCAAGCGACGTGCAAGGGACGTGCAAGTGATGTGCAAGGGAGGTGCAAGTGCCGTGTAAGTGTGCAAGGGATGTGCAGTTTGCAGCAGGGTTCGGCCATGGCTGGTGGTGGCACTGTGGTTTCTGGTGGTCTGGTGGCGATCTGGACAAGTGAGTGCGCATTGTCATGCAAGTGTCGTACAAGTGATTGCATTGTCATGCATGGGTTATGTACGTGAGCGTTTCCTGTCAGTAAGTTCGAAAGTGCATGTGTATGTTGACCGGTGTTTCGAACGGCTGCAACGAGCCCGAGAGGGCTTGTGTGTGTCCACCCCTGTTTCGAAGGGTAGGCAAATCTGAGTCGAATGAGCAGGGGGACGGAGGGGGTGCAGGGGAGCTCCGTCCAATGAAGCTCTCCCCTACACCCTAGGAAAACGTACCTGCTTTGCCTGCGCCTGGGCCCCGTCGTGGGCAGCTAGCGAGGCACTCTTGCCAGTCAAAGTTCTAGTTGCTGCCATGTTGATGAGCCTGGAGACCCCATGCTAGTCATGTTTGAAGGTTCTGACTTCTCCTGACTTATGCTGACTTCACAGACCTGCGACACATTGTGTCAAGTGTGTGTGCCCGTTTTCGCAGCTGGAGGCCGAGAGGACTGGTCGTACGACGGCCACAAGGATAATTGGAATGCAATGGCCTACATCCTCCGACAAAAGTTCATCCCTGGTTCGGCTATGGCAGCTTAGTCTGCCAAATACGCTACGGATGGCATAATGTCAGGAGAAAAGAGAGAACTCGAGAGCTGACACCTACACCAGCAAAATTGAGACTAGCGCACTACGGAAGCACCCAGCAACCGATCTTACCGGGCTTCATCCCTGCATAGCACCCCTGCCGGCCATGCAGTTCGGTCATCACTCCCCGGAGATTCAGCAGCCCAAGCTTGGAGTCTAAGCACTGTCCGGTGGCCGAGAAGCAGCTTGTTTCTCAAGGCTCAGATGCTGATTAACTCTGGCGATGCATTCCTTTTGGAGCACAACGAAGCGAAGGGTCGGGATCAGGCAGGAGAGTATCGGACGATGTGATTCATGTTGACGTGAAAAATGCCAAAGAAGCACACCGAGATCTGGTCTGACGACTTCGATGGTGAAGGGACTAACTGGTTGGGCAAGCAGCTCATGATCCTCAGAGATGAGCTGAACGGAGGCTTCTTGGGCAGGCATTGTCGCATTCGGGCATCGGCACATGTGGCTCACCGTTTCGAGGTACTCAGCAGCATCATGCAGGAAGCGTGTCGTGTCAAGTTTGGCTTTGTCATGCCATTTTCATTCCATACATCACACGTTTACATTACTCAATATGCAATTTCGCATTGCAGCATGAATGTCTGCCAGACTCTCGTCTCGTTCAGACTAAGGGTACGGGGCATTTCCGCTCCACCAACACGATTTCCGGAAAGACAGCATTGCTTCAGGTCTTGGAAGCAGCTGGAGGGACACTATCAACAACACGAATGCCTGGCAGAGCGCCGTGCGCACAGCTGCAGAGCAGCTTTGCCGCCGCTTTCCCGGAGGTGGGCGAGGGGGGGTGTGGGCCAAGGGTGTTTCTGGAATCAACAGCACTTGACATCCAGGTAGTGGTGCTGGTGAAGCACGTCGACAATCTCGATCGTCAAGAACAGTTTCTTGATACAAAAGGTGCTGTGACGCATGTGGCAGTTGAGCCCGACTGCCGCAGCTTGGCCTACAAAACCGCTCGTGCAACTCCATTGAGCCTAAGGAAGTGGTGCCGGCGTCTTTGCCAATGGAGCCGAACGGAAGGAGTCTGAGCCGGCCGCCTGCTCGCCAGATAATGGGAACCGACATCATGACAGATGGATGCAGACCTCACACAATTACGGCCAGTCTTGCTGGAGAGCGCGTATCAACTATGCAAGCTACGGCATTTCCGCCGGTGCAAATGCGGATCCCCGGCGAAATTACTTGTTCCTTGTTCGTATGTTTAAAAGACGCATTTCGTGCAATCCGCCTAAACTTCTGTCAGCTGCACACGGATGCAGAGACGTCATGTTGCTGAGTATTACGCTGCTGTCTGAGCCATGCACTTGACAGACCCATCTTCAGGAGGACGCCCATGGCAGGAGCTCCAGAAGGTCATGTGTGGCAGGTCCAAGCCTTGCCAGACGTCCGGTTTCTCCCTTTCCATTGGCTATCTATGGTCTGAACATACATGCTTTCGTTCGCCGTGACTCGCTGTGCACCTGAGTTGCGAGACTTTAGGCTTTGTGCAATCGCATAGCTCTGTTGCACTCGTTGGGAAGCACATTCTACAGTGGTTGACCATGCGTCGTACCCGCAGCGAGACTCGTGCTGACGGCATGAGTGCTGAGCTGTTCTTACCCTGGATGCATCGGTTTCGGGTTTCGACAAGACTCTGGCAAGATCAAACCCGAGTCCAAAAGCCGCAATGCGACACTTTGTGCAGCAGACGCCAGCTTCCATCAGGCTTATAGCATTTTGTGAATTGCACCAGACGGTGGCCATTTTAGCCTCAAGCTTCAGCATCAATTTCGAGAGCAGGCTTGAAGTCTTTGTAGTCCACGAAATGCTGCCATTTTTCCTTCAAGCCTAGCCCTGCCAAGAAAGAAGATGCCGGCAGTTTGCCTTCGCCCAGACTGTCTCAATGAGGCTTTCCAGGGGCAGCTTGGCATGACAATGAAGCCAACAGAGCCAATGCAAGCAGAGTGATTTCAGAGTGGATTGAAAGAACTGTACCTGCACAAGTGCTTGGGTGCCGAGAAAACCGGACCGTTGACATCTTCGTTGCCAGGCAGCCTGGTGAATTCTGCAGTCGTGGCTGCCGGTATGCTGGGTGCCGATGGGCAATGAAGAACCTAGATGGGCAATGGGCTGCATGTTTTGTTGCCGGGGTACTCGTACAGGTGTTATAGTTCATGGCAGGATTGGCACGACTCGTAGCTCTGTCGTGCACCAGCAGCAGGAACTGGCTGTGCAGAATCCTTGGTAAGCCAGGTGCTTGAGGCCCGGCTGCTTCAAGCAGCCCTTCGGTCGTCAGCCAGGCAACTTCTGCACCAAAGGCACAGTTTGCGATGCTGTGAGTCCTGCAGGGGGGGTCTTCCCGCTTCAGCTCGTTAGTCTGTCACAGACATGCGGAATTTCGCTTGTGTGGGGTAGTCTGTTGGGTCATGTACCGCTGCTGCTGTAGCAAGGCTCACTGCATGCCCGTGCATTTACATATTGAACTGATTAAGCTAGAAGGGAATTGCGGGGTCGCAGGTTTGGGGGCTGGCTCAGGGTCTGGGTGGCTTGGGTGGGCTTAAGAAGGTGGGGCTTCGGGTTTAGGGAGAGTTTCGGGCTTCAGGGCCAGGGTTTTAGGGTTTGGTTTTAGTTGTGGGAGTAGTCGAGGGTTTGGGGTTGAAGGGGTTGAGATTCGGCTCAACGGTGATGATTTAAGGTTTAGGCTTAAGTAGGTGGGGTTTCGGGAGAGTTTCGGGCTTCAGGCAGGGTTTGGGCGGGGGTTTAGGTCGGGCGTGCCTTAAGATTGACCATCATCAGACAGCATAGTCACCCCCAAAAAATCCACCAACCAAGAAAACGCATTAATTGGGCCACCCGTGTTTGTGGTACGAATACGGAAGAGACGCATTAAAGAGGCTCACCGGATTAAACACGCCACCACATCAGCGCGCACTTACAGGGCTGCAATTGTTTTCTCCTTCGTGCTAAAGTTAGAGGCTGCCGAGATGCCGGCTGCTTGGCGCCTGGTTGCCGCCATCCGACTTGGGACAACCATCCTGGAGGCTTTTGCAGCCAGCCGTGCAAGGCACCGGCCTCGGATGACAGAATGTTCCAATTGCCAGCATCCCGAGCTCCTCCCAGTGTTAGCTACAGCCAGCATGGTGTCGGGGTCTCAAGAGGATCGCGCAGTTCGTTTCCGCTAAGGCAGCGTTTGAGGCAGCCCTCGCCACAAAGAACGATCAGGACGCCGGCCAATTCAATCCTACTGGCTCTCGCACGTCCCCTCTCTGCCTCTCTCGCTTTCGCTCTCGCTCCTCTCTGTCTCTCTCTCTCTCTCTGTCTATCCCTCTGCGCTTCTGCCATCTCGTTCCGAAATGCTGCTGGCTGTTTCAATCTCTCCCTCTCTTGCTCTTCGCCCACTCCTCTTGCGCAGAGTACTCTTCAGCTTGCTGAGAGGTAGATGAGGCAGTAGTTGTCGCCTTGATCGCAGTTATGTATCCATGACAGAGTGTCACACGGTCGCTCTGGGATGCCGCAACCGAAGCATTTTCCGACGAACATGACCTGCGAGACGCATTTTCCTGGGTGCATGTTCCCATCAATGCACCAGTAGTAGCCAGGAGCTGCCGTGGTCGAGCCGGCGCCATCCACTCCACCCGACCACCAGCACTGCCGCCTCACTGCTCAGCGAGGCCCAGCATATGGTCTGCTCCCTATCAGCACTGCATGCATCGGAGTGGATGTAGTTACTTACGGTTTCATGCGAAAGCTCACGATGCACCGCCGAATTGCCTGAAAGCTGAGAAGAATGCAAATTGCAGCTTTCATATAGACAGTCGAAGCAGTTGCATGAGGGATGCTTTGACGCCTTGCAGCCTAAAGTGGTGGCCTTTGATATTGAACGGGAAAGTCAGTCCTGCTCCACTTATTCCTGACTTTTTGTTAGGTGCGGTCTTGCAAGTATGTACAGCTCCGTTCGACCCATGTCGCTGCAAGCTGCCGCAGTCAGCTGGATTCCCACTCGCACCGAGACACGCGCACAGGGGCACACACATACACACGCACAAGCAAACAGCCACACAGACATTCCCATGCTCGGAGCATCCAGCAACACTTGTCAGGAGGAAGGCACCAGCCGGGACAGCTTCGTCGGCACCCTGTCAGCGAGCGACGATTGCACCCTGCTTGTTGCTGCTGAAGACGACGGACCGGCAGAGCAGCGTTCGCTGTGGCAGCTTCTGCAGGACTGGATAGTCTGATGCTTCGTGGGGTCCATGTCGTGCAGCTGTAAGCATAGGCGTTGGGCTCCCGTAGGAGAACACTGGCTACCCTCCCAGCAGATGCGCTGCATTGGCACAGCGGAGACCATCATTCTCGCAGCTTGCTTTCGGGATAACTGTATTGTTGGACATGGCCCTACTGTCATGTTTCGGGCTTCCTTGCCCAAGATTGCTTTGTGCTATACAGCTCCAATGGTTCTGAAGGACAGGTTAGTTCCAGAAAGAGCCACAAAAACTCACGAGTATACGGTATACATCGGTATACTGCGTTTGCAGGCACCAGCAAAGCCCGATGCGAATTGTGGGGCCCATCTGATGGTATGCCCTAGGTCTGATGCACCTCGTGCAAGAAAATGGTCTCGCTGGCGCAAGCACGTGCGGTCTGACGGCTTCCCGTCGCAGCTGCTACCTTTCCCCGCCGAGGCCACTCCGGACGGCTGTTCAGATTGAAGCCGTCGGCGATCACGTTGCTAAGGCTGCGGCTTGGTTGGCGTCCGCCAGGGTGGCAATGCAGCAGCAGGCGAGACCATGCTACTGCACCTGAGCAGGCTAGAATGCTTACAAACTGAGTAGCTACAATACACGACAAAAAATGGCAAGGAATGGTTCATACATGGCAAGCCTGTAGCACCACGGTGCCGGCTGCGGCTCTCCGATTCTCCAAGTCCCAGGTCTTCCATTCGGAAGTTCTCAATGGCGAGATCGTGGAGCCGTTGCATGCAAATGCTGTTGGTTGTGCAGCTTCCATCGCAATCTGTCCCACATGGCTGTTCGATTTAAGCCGCCTGCAAGGTCATATGTGAATGACCGCAGTATTCAGTCCTCACATGCAGTTGTTCCGCCTCGCACCCTCCTAGCTTTGTGTTGCAATGGCGAGCTGCCTTTGTGCCACCTGTGGGCTTCGGTGCAGCTGCAACGTCGCGGAATTCCACGCTGTGGTGCTGCAATAGGGGGGGGGGGGGGGGGGGGGGGGGGAGATGCTTTGTTGGTGGGCGAGCTCACCTGTGCAGACAGTGTGCCATGTATCCATGTGTGTGTGTGTGTATGTGCTATATACATATATACACAGATATATTGATGCGTTCTGTATATACATAGATATGTATGTATGTATGTATTTCTGGAGCTACTCGCCCTTCGATGAGGATGTATGCGTTCCTGTATATATATATATATATACATACACATTCATTCATTCCGCAGGCTTGGAGACCGTAGGTCGCACCTATTGTACTGTACTGAATTCAAAGAACAGGTCGTAGTATGCGCTCACCAAGAGGGGTGGGATGTAACCAGCAGTCGGAAAAGCTGTCCCAGCCCTTCAACAAAATGAACTTCAAGACTCTGGACACCGCATGCGAGTTGTAAAGGATGCGTGGTATTCCATACTTGGCAATCCAAGTAACGATCCTGATTTCGGACCTAAGAAGCGGGATCTTCCTCACGGGTATCAGATGAGGCTATCCCCGCAAAGTAACCATATACCCAGGATGTCAAAACACCCTCATTGAGGTGATATCGGGACATCGGAGCAACTGCGATAAAACAACGGCAGTGCTACTTAGTGACACTTGCATCACTCACTTTCCCAGAACTGCTAAGTCGGTAATCGGAGGCACCGCCACAGATCGAAGACCAGTCGTCAGTGCATAACCCCTCGGTAAGACTTGCAGCAATTGCCAGCTTTCCAATGGAAGCCAGCCGCACGCCTCCAGGCCCGTAGACGAATCATGACGGGTGAAGGCTGTAGTTGGCAGCTTTCCACCTAAGGCCAGCCGCAAACTCGTTTAACATGTAGTATGCGAGCGTGCCCTCAAAACTAATGGTCACCCTGGACAGTGTGTCCTTCGGCTTCGTGTCCATGAGCGCCATCATTTCAAGTGAGGTGCAGCGGTTGCCGGCTTCAAGTTTGATGATACAGATGCCTTCGCCTGGCGAGCCTCTGTTCTGCATGGTGACGCATTGCTGCAAGGCAAGCGTCTCCGTGAAGCCAGCCTCAAACTCCTCTACCGTGTAGTTGCGAGAGTGTCCTCCAAACCAATGTTTAGCCTGGCCCTCTTGAGCAAAGTGTCCTTCGCCCCCATGCGCACCATCGTGCGGTTGCCAGCGTTCAGGTTGAGAATTTATATGCCCTTGCATGAGGAGCCACCGTTCCGCTTGACGATACGCGGCTGGAAAAGTCTTGTTCAAGTCAGCCGCGGACTCATCAACCATGAGTGGGTCCTCCGAACCAGTATTCACCCTGGCCCCCTTGCGCTGCGTGCCCTTCGCACCTATGACTCCATCACGTCGGGTGGGGTGCGGTAGTTGCCAGCTTTCCGGTCGATCATCTAGCAGGCTCATGACGTACCGCCTTCCGCTTCGCGGCCATGGCATGCGGTACTGGGGCTACCGAGATTCCTCAGTGGGTGACTCGAGCCCTATATATACACATATGCATATATACATAGAAACATATACATATACATATAATATATATATATATATATATATGTATGTATGTGTATGTATATATGTATGTTTGTTTGTATGTATGTATCTATGTATGTCTGAGACAGGTGAATAGACAGACATATAGACAGATAGCCAGATTCACGGATAGATGAGCAGGTGCCCAAGATCAAGACTGGGAAGTGGATCTCGAGTGTTTTTCTGTGCACGGGGCTTTGGCAAATGCGGCAAGAAAAGCATCGTCTACTTGGAGATTCGTTGCTAAAATGCGTTTAGGCTGCAGCGAAAACTACACATGCAGCCGCAGCGTCCGCGGCATGTCCTGAAAATTGGATTTGGTGCGACATGGAGACTACAAACAGCATCCACACTGCGATTTAGCATATTATACGGATGTGTAGTCTTGCCACTGCTGCATATTTCTCTGAAACAGCATCCACACTGGTGTGATGCGCATTCTCCCCGACTCATGTGAGACAAGCAGGTAGGTAGATAGGTTGATAGATCGATAGATTGATAGATCCTTTGGCAGCTTGTTTGTGTGTGTGCGCTCGTGTGTGCATACACGCGCAAACACATACATACATACATACACACGCACACACACACATACATACATACATACATACATACATACATATCTACCTGCACATACTTACATACATACAAACATACATACAGCCATACATACATACATACACATACGTACGTACATACATACATATGCATGTATGCATGTATATGTAACACACACATACATACATACATACATACATATATATATATATATAGACCCATACCCATGCGTGCATATGTACATACACGTGCATGTACCCTTACATGTATGTGTGTGTGTGTGTTTATGTATAATTATATATATATATACTTACATTATATACATACGTATATATATATATATATAAGAAAGACCTTTCTGTATTATTTGACGCATCTGTCGGCTGTGTTACCAGATTCCATGTAGATTGACATTCCAAATTTCCAAAAATTTTTGATTTTTTTCGAAAACTTTGAAATAATTGAAAACTTTGGAAATTTGATTGAAATTTAATCAAGATTGTCCAAAGTTTTTCAATCCGCTGAAACAAGAAGAGAGCTCACTCCAAGATACTCCTGGTAAGAGAAGACAGCTTCTTTCTATTCTAGAAGAGAGCTCCGTTACCTCTCGGTAGAGGAAGAGACCCCCTGGCAAGAGAGGGCAGAGCTCCCCAGGCTTCTCGAAATATATGTGTATATGTTTGTATATATATATATATATATATATATACAGATCTTGCGACGGAGTGGCTGGTTTGCTTTGAAAGCTTGGGCCCTGAGGAGACGGGCCATACGTGCTTCGCACAAGCAGATGGCATGGATGATTTCAGCTTCAAACCCATGGTTTGCGCTGCGTGTGGGTTCCAGTGTGCCAGCCGTGCCGAATCATGGGAGCACACCGAGGAGAGAGCCACGTTCGGTGTTCGTTGCAAACTTCGAACATGGCTAGTCCATCGCCCTCTGAGTGCAGCAGCAGGAGCAACTGCACACAGTCAGACATGTTATCCCACACAGGCAACTTCAGTCCTGCGACATGTTCGGCCACGCAGGTCAACACGTGCGTCACGTGTGTCAGTGTAGGTCAGAAATTATGTATGTATAAGCGAATAGATGGGTGGGTGGATGGATGGATGGGTGGACGAATGGCTGCGTGGATAGATGAATGGATGGATGAATGGCTGCACGGATAGATGAACGGGCGAATGGATGAGTGGAGGAGTGGATGGTTGGATGGATGAGCGCATGCAAACCTCTTTGTACATGTACACAGGCTTACCACTATGCAGCCATATCGGAATCTGTATAGCTTTGGACCGAAGGGAGATAACTTCCTGCACAGGCAACCGGACACACAGAATTCAGCGGACTTCCTGGTGACATCGACTCGGACGACTGCAGCTTCAATCCCATGGTCTGCACATCCTGCGGGTTCGAGTGTGCCAGCCGTGCAGAATCATGGCAGCATACCCGCGTCCCGGACTCAGAGAGCAGAACAAATTAAGCCGGAAAGTGAAAGTCGCTGGGTTCGTCCAGGAATGAAACATTCTGCCTGATGTCCGCGTTGTGGCTCAGGCGACAGGACACCAGCATTTCAGAGGAGCCTTCGGTGATGGTGTGGATGACCACACACCTCAGCCCATGATGTGCGCACGGTGTGGGCACTTCTCCGGAAACAGAGCCGATTCTTGGAAGCACACTCAGGCCTGGAGAGTGATGACGTGCCGGCTAAGGGCAACACTTGAACCACCAATGAATGATCAGAAGCCCTGATGGCTGGTTTTGAATCTGAAGTTTGTTTGTGTCAAGGCGGAAATGCCGAGTTCGTGCAGAACAACGAAATGACGTATTCGATCAAATCAAGAGAGCACGTGCAACACAAGCTGCCCTGTGTGTCCTTCTATGTGTGTGTGCTTGTCCACATGGCAGTCCAGCAGTTTCGCGGACACAAACACAGAAGCTCGACCACGGAGCATGCCGTGATCAAAGTCTCTAAGTTGCAGACTCCAGGTTCATGTGTGAAGACAATGTTTGTCCTTCACACATGAACCTGGAGTCAATGCCATGGTCGGCCTTCAGAACCGGACTGATCTGGCATAGTGTGATGATGCAGGCCACGGGTCATACCTTCTTCCACAGCATCAACTTGGACGACTTCGTAGGCTGTGAGTTCATGGACCGAAGGACACTGCAAAGCGTGCTTGAGGCGCGGACATCGTGGCAAGAATCTAGGTTTGCGGTCTTGCTGCAGTTGTTCGGTGGCTTCAATACTCAGCGATATGCTCTGTGTCACCGCAAGGCCACGCTGAAAGACGTGCTTCCACAAATCATTTCCGAGACAGCGCCAGGCGATGCTGGCACGGACCGATGCTTGCACTATGACTGGAGCGATGTCATGCATGCGAGGGCAATCGACAACACGCAAAGCTCCGACGACTCAGAGGGTTCCAAGCCTGCTTCAGCATGACGAACAGGCGACTACTCGGACTGAAGACCGTTACAAGTTACAAGCTGACAATTTGCATGTGTTTGGCTGCTGAGATTCAAAGCTTGTAGGCTTCAGGGGTATGTGCTCTCAGCCAGCGATGTCGGCACAACGATGAATAGCGAATGCTCCAAACTTTGCTTTCCACCATGCTCCGTGCCCAGGAGAGACATGCGTCCGACCTGAGTGCTGCATCCCTGCACCCTGCCGTGATCATGCTTCAGAAGTGTTTCGCATCCACCTCGTTGCGCAAGGCTCTACAGAATAGGAGAGTAGCCTGAGTATGAGCTTTGTCTACCTGTAGCCGTGCCCTCAGGCAGACGGCCGACACGGTTGGGGCGGTGTCTGCTCCATTGACTGCATGGCCAAGCCGGCAGGGCCAGAAGCCTTCTGCAGCCGTGCTTCCCAGGAAGAGCGGCTAGGCTCAAGCAGTATACATCTACGCGTGCCAGGCTTACCGTGAAAGCAAGCTGCAGCCTTTGTGGCAGTGACTGCCCTTTTACTTTGGATAGATTTTGTTCTGCTTGGAAGAGGTGTGGGTCACTTTTGAAGCTGAGTTTGTATGTTGTTTTGGAGGTGGACGTCCATCAAGTTGCGTGGAGCTGAGCTGAATCATCGAGCCATCATGTTAGAATGCGTTTCCGAGAGAAGCAGGAAGCTCAATGGACGAAGCTACTGTAACATTGGGTTCGTAGGCGACTTGAGGCAGGGATCGCGCGTGAAGTAGTGTGAGCGGTGTTGTAGTGGGACTGCCAGATCAGCTAGCATGCGGCCAGTGATGAGTGTTTTCTGTTCTGTCTATTGAAAAGTTGATGAGGCGGCTACAAGCTCGCTGGAGCGCGGACGGTACACGGGGAAGTCCAGCACTCCCCTGCGCAATATACAAGATCCATGCGCCTCGAGCAGACTTGGAGGTGTGAAGTTTGCAAGAGGTTGTCAAGGCTTGCCCTGGAAGTAAGGCTAGTAAGGCTTGAAGCCAAGCATGTTGTGCGCTTGGCGGCACATGGCACGTGCCTGCAACTTCACATAATCATATCATGAGAAAGCTGAGGCTTCCGCAGAAATGGTCGAGCAATTTGACAGGTGCCTGCCAAGCCATGGGTTGTCAAAGAAAGCTGATCTGATAAAGTGGATGTATTTAGTCGATCTCCTCAATCCGAAATGCTTCTTTGCCCTACCCATGTCATGCTGGCAACCCGATTCTGCCTGCCATGCTTCCGTTTACACAAGCCCAGAAAAAGACGGTGAACAGCAGCCTGCCATGTCGCTACTCTCGCTCCGATCGCTACATCTCATTCCAGCCATCTTGTGTGGAGTATGCCAACGAGAGCAGAAGTGCATGGAAGCAGACGCTACGCCTTCAGAAACTACATATGTAGATGGCAACTTTGACTAGAAAGCCAAGGATGGCACACGAGGCATGAAGGAAACTATAGCATGCAAAGAGAGAAAGAGAGAAAGAGAGAGAGAGAGAGAGAGAGAGAGAGAGAGAGTCATGCCCGGCGGAAGAAGAGAGGACTGCTCCCACTCCTAGCCCTAGCAAAGCAAAAAGAGAGAGAGGGAGAGGGAGAGGGAGAGGGAGAGGGAGAGGGAGAGGGAGAGGGAGAGGGAGAGGGAGAGGGAGAGAGGAGAGGGAGAGGGAGAGGAGAGGGAGAGGGAGAGGACGAGGGAGAGGGCGAGGGCGAGGGCGAGGGCGAGGGCGAGGGAGAGGGAGAGGGAGAGGGAGAGGGAGAGGGAGAGGGAGAGGCGAGGGGAGGGCGAGGGGCGAGAGAGGGCGAGGAGAGGGAGGAGGGAGAGGGAGAGGCGAGAGGGAGAGGGAAGAGGGGGAGGGAGAGGGAGCGGGAGAGGGAGAGGGAGAGGGAGAGGGAGAGGGAGGGAGAGGGAGAGGGAGGGAGAGGGAGAGGGCGAGGGCGAGGGCGAGGGCGAGGGCGAGGGCGAGGGAGCGAGGGCGAGGGCGAGGGCGAGGGCGAGGGCGAGGGAGAGGGAGAGGGAGAGGGCGAGGGAGAGGGAGAGGGAGAGGGCGAGGGCGAGGGCGAGGGCGAGGGCGAGGGAGGGCGAGGGAGAGGGAGAGGGCGAGGGCGAGGGCCAGGGCGAGGGCGAGGGCGAGGGCGAGGGAGAGGGAGAGGGAGAGGGAGAGAGAGAGGGAGAGGGCGAGGGAGAGGGCGAGGGCGAGGGCGAGGGCGAGGGCGAGGGCGAGGGGGAGGGAGAGGGAGAGGGAGAGGGAGAGGGAGAGGGAGAGGGAGAGGGCGAGGGAGAGGGCGAGGGCGAGGGCGAGGGCGAGGGCGAGGGCGAGGGAGAGGGAGAGGGAGAGAGGGAGCGAGAGACCCTGCGCTCGCGCGCGGGGGTCCTAGGGTCTTCCCTAAACCCCAAACGCCCTGCTGCAAGCAAGCAAGAGAGAGACCCCTGGGCTCCACACTCCCTGCAAGCAAGCAAGCCAGCAAGAGAACGAGAGAGAGAGAGAGAGAGAGATAGACACAGAAGGGGAGCGAAAGCAGGTTCAGGGGCAAGCACGACCAAAGTCACGATTCGCCTTTTCTTGACATGTCGCTCAAGTGGTTTGGCTCTCTGTACTGTATCGTGTTGCACTCACCGATTGCCCCGCGTGGTAGATCAAGGGACAGTTCTGGGATTCTGAGGTTAGAACTTGAAGTGGATCATGACAAGTCTTCAGGAGATGCGGCTCTATTGGCTTTGCGACGGCAACAGGTGCCTCTAGCAGCCCTGGAAACCAAATCGACATGCTGCATGGCACCCGACACTTGGTGTAGTATTGAGATGAAAGAAAAGCTCTTGGTCAGTGGCACTGGCAGATTTGCTTCAGACAGCTTGAAGCCAACCTTTGTCGTCTCTTGGTCACATTCGAAATCCTGGTCAGGGTACCTCTTGATTGCGCAACACGTCACTCTTCCTCACATGGTACATAACCGAGGACAGCTGTGCCAGATGGAATTCTCCGGCCAACCATGCGCCCACCCAGGTGCCAAACGCTCCGAAAGTAGTTAATGAAGAGTCGCCAGCTGGCGGTGCAATCATGAACTTCAGCACACCTGTCGAACGTTGTCCGTACAGATTGCAGATCGCCAGGTTGTTGCGCCTGTGGAATCATGCGCAGCGGCTTCGACATCTCCAATTTGGCCAGGAGCACTGGAAACAGGACTGTAAATTAATCAGTGGGAATACACAATCAATTTCGCCTATTCCATCTACTCCTTATGTTCGCATCTACGAGGGGAGCATTCGGCGCTGGACACTACTCGACCAGCTTTTGGTCCACGGCGATGGGATATGGCAATGTGGTCCTGCTTTGCAAGGTGGCTGCCAAGGCCTTAGAATCTCAATCCAGGGAGCTGCTCTCTTGTCCGCACAGCAAGCTGCACTAAGTGAAGCCTCATTCTCACCCTGCAGACTGCACGAATGTTTTGCTGTCTGCTGTGTTTCGGCTAACTGCCGAACCAGGAACCTGCGAAGCTTGATGCTACAGCCTAGAGCTTGTTCAGACTTCTCAACTTGCTGAGAGAAGTGCGCTCAGGCTGGAAGATCTGAACAAGTTACTTCGACAACGCTGGAAGCTGAGACCCCGACATGCGGCATGCTACGCACACACGTTTTTGCTCATGCATGTTCGACAGATCGATGTCCGAATTAGACGTCTTAGGGATCTTCTTGACTGTGGCGTGCCGAAGAAGACAAACACCTGTGTGCGTTTGGAGTCGCCACTGAAGAGAAACTTCTTCGCTTCCCGGTATGTAGATAATGTCACTGTATAGTTTTGCATTATGCACACGTACACTTCAACCGCACATACATGCACGTAATACATGTACACAAGTTGTGCACATACATAGTCATATACAGTCATGGCTTCATACACACCTATACCCATGTACACATACATATACATACACCTATGCAGATGCACATACACATATGCACAAGTATGTAAACTTATGTGTATATATATATGAAGTTATACATACACATATTTGCACGTGCATACGTGTACATATACCGACACGCATACATATGTATATATATATGCATATATATACACATACACATGGATACATACATCCATGCATGCATGCATGCATGCATGCATGCATGCATGCATGCATGCGTACCTACACAGATACGTAGGTTCATACGTACGTACATACACACACACACACACTTATGTGCATACATATGTGTATACATACATATATTGCATACAAACGTGCATATCGATTCCTGTATCTATAACTATATCTGAATCATTCTATATCATCTATATCTATACCGGTATCTACATGTATACCTGTATAGAGATGTTGCTTTCGATTTGTAGGATATATAGACGCACGTGCGGAGCAGTATGCATTTGTGCATTCTGTTCGCACATGTGCATGTACTCCTCGGCAAATGGTTTCGGTAAATGACATGCATGTGCACATACTCGTGTGCATACTTGTTTAATTGTCGTTCTACTTAATTGATGTTATTGCCTTTTCAGCTATCTTATTCCGGTAAACGGACACACAAATTCATCTGTGCATTTAGTCGCCAGAGGTGCTACCAAAGGGCTAACGGATCATTGACTGTTGAACCCGTCCTCAGAGAGGTCATCGACAGCATGAGTTGTGCCAGGTCGGAGCCAATCCCCTCAGGATATCATTCGCGGCTCGTAGTGAAGAAGAGTGGAGTAGATGAGCTTATGGTGGAGCGGGACGACCAGATGCTGCCGCAATTTCTTGTCCAGTTCTAGCAGGCTGAGAAGTGCTTTGGGTGGAGCGAAGTGACAAGATGCCGGCATGCATTGTAATTAATTCAGATGCAGGTTTGGCATGCACCGTGACGGCACTCGAAGAGATTAGGAAAAGCTTGTCGCGAGCACTGGCAAAACGATGCGGCTCTTTACTCTTCCAACCTGCATCAGCAGCGTGCCAGTGAGTGCACATCTGCACCGGCAAGACTTTGGCAAGCTGGAGCAAGTGCTGGAGAAAACTGTTCTAACGTGCATTACATGCTCATTCTCATCACTACCCACATGTTCCTGTCGCGCCCGTTGTTTGTCGAGAGAGATTGCGAAAGGCCTACCTCTTCGTGCATGTTGATTCTGATTTGCATGTTGCTGTGTACATTCGAGGAAGTCGTTTCGGCACCCGTGAATGGCTACATCCAAGTCAAGTTGGAGCTGAACAAGGCTACTGGCTGGCTCCCGCAGGAGTACTTACTGGAGTGCCCGGAAGGGTCTGAAGATTGGAGCGACTGGCGTTGGGATGGTGCGAAGTGCCTGGAAGCAGTTGAGCCGAAACGATTGATTACAACCAATGTCAGCAGAGGGCCGGCTTGAGTTGTTGCCAAGGCTTGTTGAGTTGGCCCCGACAAGCAAGCGATGGAAGGAGGTGCCGTGAGGATGTCAGCCCCATTTTGTCACGTGGCAGGGTCACAGGCTAAGTCCTGTATGGATGTGGGCTCGTGCTAATGGCAGGTGCAGACGCACATCAACTCAAAGCGCTGCGGTCAGCCTACTTGCGCATGTGCCGCTTTCCCCATGCAGGCAAGGGTCAGTGTGACCGTAAGCGTAAGTCACGCAGTGGCTGCAGCCACAAAGTTGCATGCAGGTGCACCGGATTTGGTTCCTCACAGGCCATTATCTGGGCCAGGCGTGAACATTTGGCCATCAGCCGGGGTGCACAGTGAGGGGATCAACTCAAACTACAAAGCCAGTCATGGGCTCGTCTGGGGGTAAAACGGTTTCTCTCGCAAAGTTCACAACAGTTTTCTTCCGAGCTACAGCCGAATTCTTCAGCTCAGCAGTGTTTTGCCAGGCTGGGCTGGAAGCCGGAGGGTCCAAGGAGGTCCTCTTCCACGGATGCAAGGAGTGACATCGTTGGAGGTGCATGGTGTGCAATTTATGGCTTGGCACTGCAATGCCACACTCCAGCCTGCATGGGCCTTTGGCAACAGACTGGTTAGCCGGTGGACTGGCAAGGCGAGCAACTTTGTCATACAGGGCTGTCAGTGCGCCGTCCATGCAACGCCTGCAGGTAACACCCGCTACCTGATTACCCAAACAAATATCTTCCACTCGCAACAGAAACATAAGTATGTTAAGATGTCCGCAGGTAATATGCATATGCATGAATTCCGTTTGATCGCTTCAACAGACCAACAAGCAACCTGCGCGAGGATGAGGCGGCGCTGACAATTGCCCACCAGGGTTTCGAGGTGAGGCTGGCCTCTCGTGGAGCATTCGGGAAGGGATTGCATTTTTGCTGCAAGAGCTCGTCTGATGTCGCTCTAGAGCATTGTTGTGCGCAGCGTTTTGCACCGGCTCAGGTATTTCTCCCCTCAATCATGCAAAGCCTGCAGCTACGCGCAGAAGCACTTGCTCCTGTGTGCAACCTGGGCAGTGATTGGCACGCAGCTTCGGTTTACACAATTACCTGCGTAGGCTGATGTCGTGATTAAACACATCCTGGCCGGGTCTGCGCTGAACCTGCATGCACAGAAGGCTTGTGCCTGTGCTTTTCTGTCCGCAGTGAGGAAGTTGCGCTGGGTCATCAGAAGCAGCGGCTGACTATGACAGCACCAGACAAGACACTGACCTCCGGGAAACGTGGCAGATCTTGGCAGTCTCGGCTTCATTTCAACAGACACTGGCGAGAGATGAGTGTATACCTCAGGAAGTTGGCCAAGACTGGCAAGCTGTCCGTGCAGAGCCACGCAGGGCAGCCGTTCAATCACGAGGACTCGACATTAACGCATATTCTCTTGCGAAGCAATCAAGGGGTGAGCCTCGTGAACACCCGGCAGTTTCCTGACGACCTCTGACCTCTGACTGTAAGAAGAAACCATGTGCTCTCCCCTGGTGATTGGCTCGTACTGCAAGTGCTTGTATTCCACAGTCAGGAGCGGGTGGTGTACCGCGATTGGCAGTCGAAGCCTGCCACTTGCAGCGCAATTCAGCTGACAAGTGGCGGATGGAGATCATGAATGCTATGCCAAGAACCGGCCTTCATGTCAAGAAAGCTAGCTCTGTGGAGCTTTCGGGAGTTGTCGTTTACTAATTCACCTTCGTGACCCATGTTACAATCGTGTCTAAGACCTTATATGGTCTTGTACCGTGTAACTGTATCACTACTTGAAAGGGGGGTTGGCCCTCCAGTCGGCACCAAGCAGATGTTTGATTCAGAGGTAGTTGTTAAGATGGGTTCCACCACAAGATTGGCGGTAGCATTCTACAAGGTCCTGCTCGAAAAACCCATGTCCAGCTCTTGCGCGGTTGCTGTCTCGACCTGCAAGATCGGCATTAGATCATTATCTACACTTCTGCATGCTGAGCCATAGCGAACCTGGCGGTTGCACAGCGACTTTTGCAGTGCCCGCCTGGGGTTGTGTGGGGTGATCCCGGGTTCGTTGGCATGTTCGGGCCGGTGCATGGTAACCAGCTTGCTGCTTCTTATTCACAACAAGTGTGAGCATGCAGAAAACTTTCCGCCACATTCGAGTGAATACCGGTGTTGTGCTGCAATAGATTCGTTTCTTGAGTCGCCTTACCCTTTCTCTGCTACGCTTCCTTCCCCTTTCTGCCCTAGCTTCTGCGGCCCTCTTGATGGCGCAGATTGAACTGAGCTGTTTCTGGCCACAGAGAATCAAGCCGTATCAAGCCGCTGGACGGCTGTCAGAACACCGCACCACCCTTGCACAGCGGCAGTGTCCTGCGCCTGCGGCCACGCTGAGCCTGCGTGCCTGTGGTAGTGTGCCCCCGCCCCCCCCCCCCCCCCCCCCCCCCCCCCCCCCCCCCCCCTCTGCGCAGCAGCCAACCCAACCCCGCCACCCCCGCCCACCCCCCCCCCAACTTTCTTCGTAGTAGCAGGAGTAGTAGCTTTAGGGGGGGGTGGGTTTCGAAAGCAAAGGGTTCTTGTGCTGTATGAAAAAGAGCGTTTTTGGCGCACTCTCATGGCCTGTCCTGTCCGGGTCGGGATCATGAAGGCCGTTGTCAAAGTCACCAAGGCTTTTGGAGCATGAGGGCTCATGCCGGAGTCGACGTTGCTGTACTTCGCTCTAGGCTTAACAGTTAACAGTTTGACCTCCATCTGTTCGTGGTTTTGACATTATGTTTGCTCCGTTTGCCTCTTTGCCTTGCTGCCTGGTACTGCACAGCAACTAAATTTATTGCTCTTGATTTTCCCGTGCATGTTGCCAACGCCTACAGGTCTGTTGGGCGACATCGTGTCTCAAAATCAATGTAGCTTGTCGTTGTCTCCAGACGGATCGCTGGTGAACTGGAAGTTAAGGTGTACTTGGTCGAGTTCATGCAGATGAGCCCCGGGGGTGGCCAATAGATCCGAGAACCCTTGCAGTACTTAGTTCAAGGATCTGCTGCAGTTCAAGTGCTCGCCAATTCTAGCTCTCAACTCTCCGTCGAAGGCTGCTGTTCCATACTGACGATTTGTTGCTCAATCTTATGTAGCCGATATGTTCGGGGCCAGACTTTTGCGGGAACCCGGACCAGCGGCAAGAAATTCCGACCGCTGCACTCTGCACTGCAGAATGATTTGTCATGGGCACCGACAGAGTACAAGGAGAACCCAAGGCGCAGTGAAGGGTGGACGGTTGGGCTTCATGCAGATTCAATAGGTATGCCAGGTGCATCTTTGACAGTCTTCGCTACCTGCCCGCGCCGTATTGCTCCCAAGCCACAATATACAGCCCATTATAGCATCGTTTGGAGATGGCGCGGTGCCAAAACCTACATTGCAAGAGGCGCAGCTCGCTTTGCCATGGCAGGACAGCCGGAGTCAAATCCATTCAACGTCAGGCTAACACATGACGGGCGCCCTGGCTATTGCTCCAAGACCTGTCGAAGCCTCGGCACCAACCTCGGCATGGGTTGGGCGAGCTTGTATTTGTTGGCTTAAGGCTTATGCAGGGCTTTATCATGAGTGTAGCGTCAGCTGTCGCAGCCGCGGTATATACGACTCTAGCCTTCGAAATGCCGAGTGTGTGAGTTCAACGATTCAATTGTGCACCGGGTCTGTCTCTGTCATGGCAGAGTTGCGACAAGGATATAAGCAGCCCCGCAGTCGGGTGAAAAAGGGGGGGGGGGTCAAACTTGAGGCCATCGACATATGAAGGCTCCTGCAATTGAAGCTTACCTTTCGGTTGGAGTAGCTTAATTTTCCCATATATTCACGATATTGAGAGATACCACGCGATGGAGGTCGATCTGTGTGTGTGTGTGTGTGTGTGTGTGTGTGTGTCAACGCGACATGTGTGGATACTTTCCAACAGTCTGCTTCAATCGCCAGAAAAGCTCTGGTGGTATTGTTCTATGCTTTGAAGCCGCGATCAGCCTCAAAGTGCTTGCAGGAGCTGCACAAGAAATATGGATACTGTAGCATGTTAGATTCAGACTTTGCTCCTGGCGAGGTGAGCGCAGCCACTCATCGAAAGGAGAAGAGGCTTGGTGTGCTTCAAGTCCTGCTAGAATTCCCGGGGTTTGCCTGGGACTAGATGAGACCCGTCTTTGTGCACTGTCGGGTGTGGCATACATGCATACACAGTGTTCCGGAGAAGTTTGTTGGCAGGTTTACTTGCCGCCTCCGACATGCCAGTTCTGCGAGCGCCGCTCGGATGCAATGGGCCGGGTTGAGTCAGCAGTTGCTGCGTGGAACACACTCAACCTGCAACTGAATCGCAGACTCCCTGATCGCACCATTGTTGAAATGCCTGTATCCGAATTTCACCCGAGACAGA